GCCCGTGGGCTGGCAGCAGCCGGACGTTGCCACCAGCATGAACGAGCCCCTGGCCCTCATCTCCTTCCTCACCCGGTGCCGGAGTTTGATGAGGGCAAGTCCCACTCAGGTTGGCCTGTCAGAAAAAGTGTCTGCTGCCCTTTCTTACCTATGAACAAGGAGTTTGTCTGCCAGCCGAGCCTGTGGCAGCAAGGTTTTTGTATCAGTAGCGTTGGGGGCTTTTTTGTTGTTGTTGTGTTTGGTTGCTGTCATGCGGGGAAATAAGATATCTTGCTGTTGAGCAGCAGTATGCACGTGAATAAGGGCTCAGACACACAGCACATCGGCTGATTTGTGGTAACCCTGAAGGCAGAGGGCCAAATTAACCCAGATTATCTCACATTTGCTACAGGTCCAGATCCTCGAGAGGGTCAGTGCCTGTGAATGAGTTGAGGCTCCAGTGACTTGTTAGACTGCATTAACACATTTCCATGCCTGAAACTTCAGGGAAAGCATAGGGTGGGTCTTACCTGAACTGGCTTTGATCATTATCTACACCAAGATCCTCTTAATTATATTTACATCTAGTTCAGGGGTTTTCTCTGCACTGCCACAGTGGCATGAAGGGGACTAAGTATACCTGAGAGCCATGCTGGCTTGTCTCCAAGACTTAAGGTTTTCTAACTCCTTCCAACAGGCTCCTTGCCTTAAGGAGATAACACCATTGCTGTTGCCTGTCCAACCGCTACTCCTCTAAAGGGTTGTTCAGTGCGTATTAATTGACCGCCTTCACATTAGACACATCTATAAGGAACCTGCTCCACAGTGCAAACCAATGCCCCAGCTAGACAGATCGAGCCCTGCCTTTGGGTCTCCAAACCAGAGAGGTGCAACTTTCCTGGGAGACGTTGATGCTCCATGGAGACAACCACCTCGTCGGAAATTCTGCAGCTCCGGTCCTACTTAAGGTTAACCCCGCAAGAGGGAAGGGAAAAGACTTGATTATGCAATTATTTGCAACTTTGAGTTACAGAGGTGCTATTTGCATACTGTAATGAAGGCTGTATAAGTATTTACCCAGACAGAATCTGGCTTCCCGCAGCTAGATGAATTTTTGGAGTGTGATCAGTTTATGCTGAAATTATATGATGTTGGGGCTGCAGTTGTAAGGGAGTGAATTAGATGCCTCAAGATATTCCTTCCCAAACTATATCCCTAATCCTACTTAGTTTGCTCCCTGGGAAATATAAATTTGAAAAATATTTGTTTTTGACAGAGTGGTGCTCGAATCAATATTTCAGAAGGCTCCTGTCCAGAGAGAATTGTGACAATAACAGGCCCAACAGATGCAATTTTTAAAGCTTTTTCTATGATTGCACTAAAATTTGAAGAGGTAAGCAAATAAAATATGTTTTTTTCTCTCTTCAAGTTGAAATACAAACATTGTTTGAATTTTCTCATGTTTGCTTTAATGTTAAATATGATTTGTTTAATGTTCTATTTAATAGCAATGAAAGTGGTTGTATTTTTATAAATGCTTTTGGCAATAATGCTGAAGAAAAATAATGGGTCAATTTACAAGCTGTTTGATCATTTCTTTTGCTTTTTGGAGGCTTCAGGGAAAAGCAATTGCTTCTAGTAATGTGCACTAATGGTAGGAAAAATGTCTTGGAAAATTTCTGTTCCCATTGTGGGTTTGATTTGAAAAGAATAATTGCCTAACTTTTAGCTCTGTTTTTATATGATTCCATTTGGTATTGATGTAAATTTTATATATGTCAAAATGACTATATAACTCATTCAACTAGAAAAATTTTATTTTAAAAACAAACTATATGATTACCAATTACCATATTTAAAGCTTGGCTTTTAAAAATAATTAAAATAAAGGCCCTAAGAGTAAGTGAGGCAAGAGAGTGCTCAATTACTGTAGAATTACCGTTCTGTGCAGATATGAACCTGAAGTGCTGGGATCTCCTCAAGTTTCATGGACGAACTACAATTAGATATGGTCACCACTTGATGGGAAACCTCACAGAAAAGGCAGCAGGCTACAGAACATGAACCCTGGTCACTCAGGAGAGGATTTAACCCCCTCAACTTCTGAAAATCAGATATCCAGTCCAGGCGTCTCTCCTGTCCTCTGTGGAGAGACAGAGGTCCCTGCAGAAGGCAATTTACCTTCTGCTAAAGGAAGAGCCTGCAGATAGGTGGACTGAATCACCTGCAGCAGGAGAAAGGGGCTGTGTCTGTCAATCAGTGATTAAACTAGAGGGATTTGAATCCCTTTCTTAAGAGTGCTTATTTCTCCAAGTCTCCGCATCTCCCCATAGCACTGGGAGATGCTAGCGTTGATGCGAAATGCCAGCGTGTGCCTTTACCCAAGGTGCTTGTTCACATTTAGAGTAACAGGACTGGAAGAGAGCTTGTGGGTCATCGAATGCAGTGGTCTTCTAGCACAAGCAGTATGTCTTGCAATCTTCTTCATAGCGTGATCAAAAACTAGTTAGATTTTTTTTCTAGTTCCTGATATTGGGTCCACAACCTCAGTTCTCTGATAATTAGACACCTTCTTTTCACTCCTCACCTAAATTTATTCACAAGCACTTTACGCAGCTCTGTTCCTGTGCCAGCACTGGCCATTAGTTTAAACAATTCTTGCCTTTCCATCCCTGAGGATTCACCTCTTAGGCATGTTTTTAGAAACCAGTATTATCCCCTCACACCCTTGCTTTTGCCAGAGCAAGTGAGCCAAGCTCAGTCTTTCAGAAGATGCGTTCCCCGCCCCTCTCGTGACTCTAGTAGTCCCTTTCTACCATTTCCCAGTTACAGTTTGTATTAAATGTATGTGTTAATTGTGGACAGGTTGCAAATGAAGTTCCACAAGGGCTTGATGTAATGGCACTAACTGTCCCCTGTCCTGGCTATCACACTAACATGTCTCTACCGCTGCTGGAAATGCCTCACCTCCTGCTAGTGTGATGTTTTGCACACAACCGTGCTGTGCCTGGCAGGTATCCCCAGCTTCCACTCAGGCGTTTTCAGTGGGAACCTCTTTGGTCTCGGCAGACATTCCTGTCAGCCCCCAGACAAATGATCCTTTTTTTTTATACTGCAAATGTTAATCCCATTTATATTTCTCCAATCCTCCATGGGTTTTCAGATGTTCCTGTGTGATATTCCAATCTTTCAATATGTTGATAAAGTACCCTGGTTTTGTGGCATGATATATTTTATAAGAATGCTATTTTTTTTTCCTTACCGGTTATTAATGAGATGATAATGATTTTGAGGTTGAATCCTGCAGAACCACACAAGAAATTCTCTCCAGCCCAATTTCAAAACCATCTGTTGTCATCTCCTTCTCAGCTTTATCTCCTACCCATCTTGTACCAATCCCTGTTTCTCCCAGCTTATGAGGCAGCTTCGTGTACGGTACCATACCCTCCAATCCACGGAGACCTGGAGAGAGCAGTCTCTCTGCTTAAGGCCTTATCCTGAAAACTGCTGAGGGAATCATTAACAGAGATAATCCCTGCCAGTTCCCACCAAAACAAGTACCCAGTGAAAATAACACTGCATTTCTCATAAAAACATCGAACGCTGCACAGCATCAGATCCCCACCCCACCACCCAACACCACGTTGTCTTTGAAAGTGCTGTAGCTAGCAATAGGCAAAGAAATCTGAAATTCAGGCATCTGACTGGATTTTATGCACATTTACCCTTGTAGATTTTAGAAGGTACTGTGGGGTCTTCATGTGGATATTAGCAAAGGGGTATTGGCACTCCCTGCAGATAAGGTACTGCGGTTATATTCGGAAATGTCTGTATTTACTTTTGATATAATTGGCTTCTGGTATATTTAAAAGAACAGTGGTAAAGAAAAATGTCTCATATAATCAGTTAGGTTTCCTATAATTATTCCTGTCAATAAAATGGGGTAACTGTAACACTTTGGAGGCAAAATAAAGTACTGTTTCAGAAATTATAAATGAGCTAGCTACCAAATGTTATTTTTCATGCATATCTTTTTGTGGAGATTTCTTCAGCCATTTAAAACATCGAAAATCCCAGTGCAGACAGTGCCTGGCCCAGCTCTGGTTATCTCAACTACCTTCAAACAGAACAAAAAAGATGCATGTGTGAGAATGATGGTTTGAGGGATTTTTTGGCATTTGTTATGCATGCCACATGAAGCATTTTGACATGAAGCCCTTGAACCCTTAATTTCATCTCTACAGCTGTATAGGTGGGGATAAGCAGGCCTAGGAAGACCTGGGAGCCCTGGACTGCTTTTCTAATGTTAGCAAAAATCTCAAAATGTGTCAGATAGATAGAAAAAAAAGAAAGATCTGGAGGAGTGTTCTCTGTGCGGTTGCTCTGCAGCCTTATATCACTCTGCTTTGACAGCCTTCCTAATAAAAGTTGATTTTCTAGCAGCCTAATGATGAATTTAGAAGCTAGGTAGGTAATTATGTAAACAACTGAAGTATTCACTGCAGAGGAAAAAGAGACTTGTTAAAAAATGGCACTAACCCAGGCAGACCACTGGAGTTGCAAGAGAGGACATTTTAGAGCAGTGATTTCCAGGCTGGAGGCTGAGACCCGAGAAATGCAGCTGTAAGTTCACTGGTGAGTGGGGCAGCTCTGCTTTCAGGTATAAATATGCATAACCCACTGGAAGCACGTGGTAGTTAAGTGTTGGAAAAACCAGCAAGCAGAGCTCAGTGGTCAGACCTCCTCCAAATACATAAGAATTTGCAAACATTTATGAACAAATTGCTCGTCTCTAGGAATAAGGAGGAGAGAAAGACAAGGTGATAAAAGCAATCGAGATGATGCCTTTTTGACAAATACTAACTCCTGCTGCTACAACTAAGGTAAATCCTGTGGTGGTCGTTACTAAGTGAGTAGCCACCTCACAGACTCGTTGTACTTGCTGTGGAAATTGGCAGGTTTAACATTTCATTTAGAAACCAGTAAAGAAGAATGTTGATATGTTTTTCCCCGGAGGCTTGGTAGATTTCTGAGCTGCCAGGTTTGCTTGCCTTGGGAAGCCTTAGACACTGTGACTCTGGGATGCCAGGAGCTAGGGATGCTGCAAGGCTTCAACACCGGGAGCTGGCTCTCCCACCACTTCCAGTTAGCCCATCCTGGCTGAGGATCAGCCCAGGCAAGTGCGCAGAAAGCCAGGCAAGGTCTGGCTTTAGTGCCTGCCAGAGCCCTGAGGAAATGGATGCAGTGCCACAGAAAGAGGTTAAAGAAATAGGAGTCTCCCAGTTCAAAAGGCGACTGTTCTGTGAGAAAGTCTCCAGCCAGCCCTACTTGGGAGCCTGCAGTTCTGGAGGGGATTTTTTTCCTACTCATTTCTCTTTTGTTGTGTTTTTAAGCTAGACTAATTCCTTTATGCACTCCACGCTGCTGACCCTGCATATTTAGATTTTGCTTTTTTTAAATGAGGAAGGGAAAATAAAGAGAATAGCGGCTTCCAATTTTTGTGAAGTGCTTTTGAAGGCATTACGTGCGGTGAAGGCTTTGAGGCCAGGCCACATATGATATGGAAGTGGGAGACATTATCAGGGTCATGCTGAGTGGCTGAAGAGGGTTATTTACCTACATCTGGATCACAGTGTGCCTCCACCTGACACAAATGTGATATAGCGAGATAGCATCTTCCAGCTGAAAAACTGGCATGACATGCACTTTATTTCAGATACACAGGTCCTGCAAAATTCCATTCTCCCTCTCACTTTATTTTGGATTGCAATCTCTCACTGACACGGGCACTAAACAAAATATGAGTTACTGGCTGGCAGAGGAATGATTTGATAGCTGTCTTCTGGCATGCAGCAATGCCTCATTCCGTTCAAGATTTTTTTTCTTCTTTTTTAAGCTAAGCAAGGTCACACTGAGCCATTTCTTGGACGGAAGAATGCTGCCATCACAAATGCAGAGGTACTGCAGGAATCAGTGCTGGTGTCACTGAGCTCCCGCACCGGTTCAACAAGGCATGCAGAGTTGTTTAAAGTTTTTAATTTTTTTTTAAATTTTGGGTCCTGATCACACAGTATAGGCACTTTTTTTTTTTTTAACAGGTGGTAGTCTTGCTATGCAAGAATTTTTTTTGTAGGGAAACTCATCAGTTCTGTCTGCTGAAACTCTTGTTGCGTCGTAAATGAGTTAAATGAATACGAAATGCATGTTTTCTGTCGTTCCTGTCCTAATCTTTTGAGTAGCGTTTCTGTGAAGAGTGTAATAGCTGTGCCATGCCACCTCACAGATGGATGAGATGGTCTTTTCAGCTCGCAGCTAGTGTTAGCAAACCACATTGAGATTCTGATGAGTTGTTGAGCAGGTGCTATGCAGCTTGTGGCTTTTTTTTTTTTGTGATCCGAAGTGCTCTCAACAGCATCGCATCGATCAGTGGGAAGATAAGCTTTATCTTTTCCTCTGTGATAAAGACATTAGAAGGATTGTTTTGTCTTGCCTAGAAGATTTTGTACTAGCAAAATATATTTAAAACAGTGTAAACCTTGCAACAAGTAGTATATTGAAATGCTCATGAAAACCTGCAGTGTAGTCTCATGGGATACACGGATACAGGTTACATTACCTGGATATGGATAATTGCTGTTCTGCTGAGCTCTTTGTATTCTGGTTACATAGCTGTGATGGAAAAGATTTTAGAAATTACGTAACACTACAAATACTTATAGATCTGCTACAAAAGAGAAATTAAACCTGGGGGGCAGCAAAATACTTATCAAAATAATCTGGTTTTTTTCTGCTTCAGATTATTCACATATTCTTTGTCATCCCCTTTTTTAACCTTTTTTCTTTGTATCAAACCTGACATGAAATTGTGTAAAATGTAAAGACATCATTTAGTAGAAGTGTTCTAATTGAGATGGTGGAAAAGAGACCAAATCAGGATTTCGGGGCCTGGGAACTCAAAAGCCTCTTTTCCATCTGCTTCGGCTGGTCTAATGATAGATGCCGCCTGCTCTTTCACCTAGTCTTGCCTCAGAGACTGTCCTCTGGTCCCGCAGTGGGGACCTGCAACGCCAGGCTGCAAAAGGGTTCCTCTGGCACAAGCTGCTTGTGCGGTTTGTGCTTACAGCGTATCACCGGCAGAGCCGGCGGCTTTACCTGCGACAGAAACAAGCCACGACAGGTTGCACGTTCCCCAGGTCTCCACGAACAGCTCGGGCTTTTGCTCTGAGCCCTTCAGTGCTTACCGGGAATGACAAATCCTCTACTAATTCTTACTGACGTTGTGATTACAGGACATAAACGCTTCAATGACAAACAGCACGGTGACAAGCAAACCACCTGTAACGCTGCGACTCGTCGTCCCGGCAAGTCAGTGTGGATCCCTTATAGGAAAAGGAGGTTCCAAAATCAAAGAAATCAGGGAGGTAGGTCTTGGGATGTCTGCCGGGAGCACTGGCTAGCTCAGCATCCTACCGCAGCGTGCCCTGCCACCATCGGCTGCTGCATTTTGCCCATGGCACGAACACGAGCACGTGCTGAGTGAAAAGCCTGGAAAAGCCTTGCTCTGGGGGAAGCAGGGATGGGGCACAGCTGTACCCTTCTACCTTCCCTGAAGCTAAAGGCCGCGTGTGAAATAAAGCAACAGCTTTACAACATATTGTAAATGCACAATTTAGCAAAGCAACAGTTTAGTGACAGAAATGGCTCATCTAGTTTCCCTTCGGGCACAGCCCCCTCCCCAGCAATACTCAGGTGATCCCAAGTTGGAGCGTTGCAGTCATTTCCAAATTAGCTACCACGCTTGCAGCCAGAGAAAGGCCCAAGTAGCACTGGCGAGTCCAGGTTGGTAGATCAAATGCTTGATCTACTTTTTAGAAAAAAAATATTTTCATACTCCTTTCCTGTTTCTCCCTAATCTCACTGTGCCACAGATGACCTGATTTCATGTATTCCAAACCCATATTGACTTTTTTTAATCCAGACTTTATCTAGAGGTATTCATTCAATGTGCTGTGCTAGCAGCCACTTTTTCCTTTAACCAGAAAATGCAAAAATTATCATACGGTGCCAGTTTGAATTCTTCTATGCATGACTGTAACAACATAGCACATGGCAAGCCAAGGATCCAATGTTTGTAATCAGTCAGACAAGAAAATTGCGTACATGCTCAGTTATGTAGAGAAAATCTGAATAAGACATTTTGGAAAAATGGATTTCTGTTCTGGAGAAAGTGACAGTACTCCTTCTAAATTTGTATTCATTCCAACATGGGACGAGGTGTTGAATATCAAGATAACACGCTGATCAATTTTTTTCATTTTACTATGTCAAAACAGAAGCTTTTGACAGGCTTTACCAAAGTGAAACTTCCTTTTTTTGTCTAAAATGTCGATTCGAGACTCTAGGTTTCGGTGAACTTTTACATTTCATTTCAAATGTGAAAAAAAGTTAACGGATATTTTTCTAACAAAGAAAATTTGATCAAATGTCAAAAAGGAGTGGAAAATCCTTTGATCAAAATTCTATATCCAGCATTTGCTATGAAATGTTAGTTTACGGTAGCCTTGGAAGGAAGGGTGAGGATAGGGGATAGTTAAGGGTCTCATCCTGTTGACTTTCAAGTTCTTCCAAATTATTTCATTTTTATTCCAATTCGATTGTCCCGGGAGTTTGTTTAACAAAATTTCCTCTGAAGGCTTATCTTCACCTTTCAGGATTTGGCCGCTACTGAAAGGGTCTTTTCTCTCCTTGCATACAGGGAAGTAAAAGCAGCGTGTACCACTTCCATTAGCTGACAGAGCTGCCAAAAACTGTTCCAGAGTTTTTGTTGCCAAGCAAAAACCATGTTGTTCCTCGCTGTGCCTCTTGCTTTGTAAACTGTGTTCATAAAAACACGCATAGGCTGCGTGCTGTAAACTCACATAAAAACAATTCAGAGCCCTGCCGTTTGAAGGGGTCTCTGTGCTTGCCGAGACCTGCAAATAAAAGGCAATTACAAATCAGAATTTTTTTTCTTGGAGTGCTGTTACTTTATTTTTCATCAAAGAGTCCAGGAGCTATGCCTCTCAGCACTCCTTATTGTCAAACCAGCTTTTGAGATGTGGGAGAAAGGAGTCACTTGATGACACTGAGGGGAAGAAAACATTATTTCTGTGCAGATGTTAGGGTCGTAGGAAACCCTCTGTCTTTTTTTCTTCATTCCCAAAAAAAGCTTTGTCAGAGAACTTTGTATAGATGGGAGAGGATACTTGTGTGTTGAAGTGCATTTCCTGGGTGGAAGGCAGGTGTTCAGTTTGCCTTACACACGGGACATTTCTGGCTCAGATTCTGCCCAGCCACCGGACTTGTTGGTGTTTGCAGCAGTTCGTGCCCGGGTGAGTCAGAAAGCCTGCAGAGCGGCTGCACGCTCTTGCCCTGGCAGGCAGAAGGCGAAGCCAGGCCAAAGCCTTGCCACGGGAGAAGGCAGAGCTACTGCCAGAGCACACGGTCGGAGGTGACCTCAGCCACGAGACATGATTTCTCTTAGTCCTCCAGATCTCTTAGGTGTCCAGGAGAACTGTCCGGCAGCAGGAACCCAGCTGATTTCTTAGTTGTGTTAAAATAGGAGCAGGCGTGAGTGTGAACCGTGTGCTGGTGAGTGCTTAGCTCTAGGTTTTACAGCTGTCGATACTTCGAATTTTATTTCAAATATTGGTAACCTCATCCAGAGCACTGAGTGAGTGCTTTTAGGACATAGGTTTTTAAAGGTGAGATTGGTCTGTTGGTCTGTGTACACTAAACGACTGAAGTGATTATTCTGGTCAGCATAGTTTCAGAAGCGATTACCTACTAGTCTAGTACAAGGAAGTAAAAGGATAGTGTTTGGCCAAATAGGTGTTTTGATAAGGCTCATGTAGCGAGAAGTCACACTGCACATTTTCTTAGGCATAAGGGTAATAGACAAAATATTACTCAGTTTTTTCGTTGCTGACATCTCGCCAAAGAATAAACAAGATTGGCACTGGAAGCAAATGCATAAATGACTCCAGTATTTGCCAGAGTATTTTGTGCTATATGTACAGATACCCAGAACTGTATGTGAAACAGCAGATACAGTCAAACGGAAAAAAAAAAAGGAGCATCCAGCTCGAGATGTGGTCTAATTTCATCATCACACAACACACTGAGCGGCAATTGCACGAGGGATGGTCTTTTGTGTTCAGTCATGTACCCAGGAACAACATGTAGGGTTGCAGTACTATTTTCAAGACAAGATTACAAAAAAAAAGAAAAGAAAAGCATGACTGATTGATCAAATTATGGCGAAATTCCAAAGTCTATTATAGAGAAAGGAATTGATATTCTGGCCTTAAACAGCACTAGTAAGCAGAAGATGCAATCAGTAATTTAATGAGTCTTTGGAAAGAAGAATAACATGTGTTGTATGTAACCAGCAAGAAAACAAATTAACTCCTTGCTGACTGACACAAAGTCAATGGTTACTGAAAATGCTTTTTTTAAAAAGCCCAAAATATTGTGTTGCAGTAACAGTCAGGAATAGATTTTGTTTGTAATACGTGAAAGTGTTAACTCAATATGAAATGCCTGGGTTTTTCCCTATTGACTGAAAATGTCTTCCAGGATATTTGTGAAATAATGCCAGGGATTGTTTTGGCCTCATGTATTTTTTTTCTTTCTTTGTGGGGTTTTTTTTTTTTTTTTTGTGGTTAACTAAGATACATTAGTGCCAAGATCAAATTTTTAAAAAAAGAAAACAAAACTGGCTCATTACCTCCTTGGGTTCATTACTGAGCTAAAACCTGATCATGTGCATATATTTAATCAACACTAATTATAGTTTAGAAGTGCTTCTGTACCATCCTGAGATATTCCAGAACATAAGGCAGCCCCAAATTTCATCCAGAGACACAAGTCAGCCATCAGTGGATTAAAGAGCCATTTATCTGCAACTCATTTGATTAGCAGACCTCCTTCAGTTATCAGCATTTTTTTCCTTTTTTTTTTTTGTTTGTTTGTTATTGAAAAGTACTTCGTTTCACCTTTTTCATTTTTTAGTCAGCATTGTGACTGTCTGTTTTTGAGAGGGTTAAAAGACTTGTCCTGAAATTCAGGTCACGGTTTGATTCATTAACAGCTACTGAGGACTAATCTTCCTAGGATGGGAGTGTTTGCAAATTGGCTTGAACAGGCAAATCCATGTCCTGCCGGACCCCAATTACCCTGCCGGGGCATGAGTTTACATAGGCGCTCTACCAGGCATCTTGCAAAGAAAAGACAAAAAGTTGAGAGGTGCGTCCCCGCCATCACATCAGTGAATCACTGGCTTTTGAGAAGTGCCATTGCCTGCCCGACAGTGACGCTCTCTTTGCTTTGTCTCTGCTCAAGTCCACAGGAGCCCAGGTGCAGGTAGCGGGGGACATGTTGCCAAACTCGACGGAGCGCGCAGTGACTATATCGGGCACTCCCGACGCCATTATCCAGTGTGTGAAACAAATATGCGTGGTTATGCTGGAGGTAAGTGAGCGCTTAGCATATCACCTCTCACTCGGGGGATGCTCAAACACATTATTAATTTTCAGTTGCCCCGGGTTCCCCAGGGGTGCTGCCTGCCCTTCCCGTGCCAGGGATTTCAAGAGGACTCTGTTAGACTGTGCCCTTTCCGCTGTTTGAGAGCCTCTCGCAGCAGGGTTTAGCAATCAAAGAGCAGGGCTGTCATGACACTGTCAAACAACAAACCAGGTCCAGCATGGAGCTGCAGCCCGTTCTGAGAGAATAGCACATTACTCTGATGCAGAATAGGGCAGAAAACATCTAGGTCTTGGTTTAAATAGAAATAATTCTGACTAGCATAATTCAGATTTAGCAGGACTTTTTGCTTCCTTAGGGTCAGGTCATTGCATAAGGCCAGAATGTTTCATTTTGACGGCAGTTTTTTAACTCTTAGATTAAATGATACAAAATTAATTCATATAAAAATCTGGGCATTTTAACCTTTGCGGAAAACGTCCATAATTTCATGCAAGTACATTTCTCAACTGATTAAATTGAATAGGATTTTGAAAAAAAAAAAATTTCAGCAAATCAAAATTAAATATTTTGACCTAGTAACCATAATTTTTGACAAGGAACATGAAACATCTCTGTTTTTATCACATTTTCCACTGGAAAATTTCCTGTGGGTTTTTTTGGTTTGGTTTGGTTTTTTACCCAAGTCTAGTCAAGAGCTGTCTCATGATGATCTCTGACACCCTACTGTTCTGTTATTCTTTGAAGATGGGAGAAACAGTGGAGTGTTTGAGACAGCACCACAGCTATTGGCTGTTCAGAAGTATGCAATGCATCAAAATGACATACGGCCTTTGCATCAAAATGTCATACAGCCTAATGAAAATAAAAGCATAAAAACTAAAAAATCCCCAGTGTTTTACTGGGGAAAAGTGTCTCTTGCTTCAGTTTTTCCTGGACTACTGTGAGGAAGGAATTTCTTTATAAAAATGCAAGAGAGCAGAAAGCTAATATTAAAAAATAATTTTAGTTTGTTAGAGATGGAGTATGTGATGGCAATAGTTATCAGCTTTGTGAATACAGAGTGTAGTCTATTGTCCAAGTGACGTTCGTGGAATAAATAGTTATTTGCTAAAGAAGATGAGAGAAGCCACTTCTCAAAATCAGAGAGACACAGTCCTATTTTCCCACAGGTAGAGCCACTTTTTAAATAACCAGTTTTGACATAAGAAGTACTTAAATTTAGCGTTAGACAAATTGCAAGCAGCACTAAGAAGACACTGGCTTAACTACAATTTGCTGCTTCGAACATTTAAGAAAATGAATGTGCTCTAATTTGCAGCATATATTTAATTTGGCAACAATTGACATGAAATAGCTAATTATATGATATTAATTAATGGAAGTGATATTGTTGTTACCTTCTTCAGTTGTAAGTTAATGCACTGAAATCAGGGCACCATTCTGCTAGGTGTTGCACAGACAGCTTGAAGCCTTTGTTACAGACACATGCTCCTGCTTGTGTCATTTACGAGGAGAAAGTTAGCCTCAGTCAGGGGTTTTCCCTTTGGGTCCTTGCCTTGGGCTGTGGGGAACAAACTCCCTTTTCATGCATTCCAAAGGCTGAGGTTAT